GACTCAGAATGAAAGAGGGAGCCTAGTTCCAGGGCAACCTCAGCAGCCACCATCCTATTCTGTGGGGTTGGTGGTCTGAATATGGAAATCCTGCTTTGGTCTCAAGATAGCCTTACTCACTGTATAGCCCAGATTAGCCTCCATCCTCCATTAGATCCTTCTCAGATTCACAAACCAACTGTGGAGGCTTCTCATCATTTCACATAAGGGAGCACTCCACGGCATCCACTTGAAGATTTGTATTTAGCTATTTATGTTTTCTGTGTGGGGCTGGAACCCCAGTGTAGGGCTTGCTCCCAAGAGCCAGGTCCTGAGTCACGTGTTTTTCTTTCTCAGTTATATCATCAAAAGCATTTCACTCCCCACTCATTATCTATACAAAACAGTGGGACTGGTGAGATGGCTCTGTAAGCAAGGGTGCTTGCCACAGAAGATCTGGGGAGATGCGGTCATATGTAGTGGCATCTTGCCTGTGGACCTGTAACATATCTATCTATTCATGCTAAAATCTTTCTACCTGAACACCTGTATCTCCTTACTTCCTAGTACTCTGGTAGTCCCAATTCATATAAAACCAATACTGGTTTTGGAGTTGGATTTGGCTTTCCTTCTCTAAATTCAAGCATGTTGTAAAAATAAAATTCAGAGTTTCTGTCTCATATCAAAAAGCCAATTGATGTGAGATGGAAGTAAACAAAATCTAGGGACTATTACTGTCGAAATTCTGTTATCTCTCAAAAATCTTAATTTCCCTCATACTTATTTTCATCCTTATTGTTACCTTTCCCAGTATACATACCTATATAAGTTAAAACTTTCTGTGTTGATATTAATGTCTAAGTCTTCCACAGTGAACAATAAAATTTCTTAACAACAATCTTTGAACTCTCTGAAAAGAAAATGAAGCTCCACTACATCGATTCCACTTGATTCAACTTGATGTCTTTGAACTAGTAAACACCACTCAAGGATCGGTTTGGGACTAAAACTGCTCTAGACAATTCCAGATTAGCTGGCTGAGATGGTCCACCTTCTTATAACACTCTAGATAGAGCTTCAGATAAGAACTTCATTCAAGCATCACCTGCTACTCAGAGACCAGCAACAAATGTTACAGCTAGTCCTCTAGCGACTTCAGTTTGTTTTTTGTTTGTTTTTTTCCCTTACAGGATCCCATAGAGTCACCATCGCTCCATTACAGCATAAAGTAATTCTAAGAAAACAACACCCCCTTTCAGTTGGCTTAAAGAGTATTTTGGGTTTTTTTTTTTTTTTCCATCCCTGAAAAAAAGCATAATTATCACCTGAGAAAGAGTTTAGAACTCTGCTAACATGAGACACAATTGCTCCTGAAAGCACTGGGCTATTCCTGAGAATATGATGGACACCAATGACACTCCAGTTGGAGTTTGTTCTCCTCTTGGCTACTGGCTTTCTGGGTAAAAAAACTGCCTCCACCTCAACCGCTGACTTTGGACATGCTGTCCTACTGGGCTAGCAGGAGATAAACTTAAAGAGACTGCTAAACCCTGCAAAGTCAGGGTGAGACAGCCTTTCTACCTCCCTGCTTCTGTGTTAGTCATTCTAATACTCTAGGTCTTAGCCAAAGCTGGTTGCCCCAACACTGCTGTGAGACTTTGGGTGACTGTCCAGGTAGCCTGCTATTTCTGTCTTCCAGTACACCTTTAGGAAGTTGCTCACCTGCACTTTCTGCCTACCCTAGTAATGCTATCTTCCTTCTCAGGTCTTTGAAAATTAAAAACAATATAAAAAGTTTTTAATTACATGTATTTCATGAAAAGACTAACATGACTTGGTGATGCATGTCTGTAATCTCTGTACTGTGAAGGCAGTGGCAGGAGGATTTCTGTGAGTTTGCAGATAGCCTGGTAGACATAGCAAGTTCCAGGGCACACAAGGACTACATAGAGACCCTGTCTCAAAAGTGGAAAAAAAAAAAAAAAAAACTGGGTGTGGCTGTATCCATCTGTCATCCCAATGCTGAAGTAGGGGAAGCAGAGACGAGGTCGGCTTCAATAAATCAATGAGCTCCAGGCTCCATGAGAGACACTCTCAAAAATAAGGTGGACAGAGTTTGGGGAGGACACCTGGGGTCCACTTCTGTGTGAGTGCTGAGCAAGCACACACACACACACACACACAGAAATGACAATACATATAGACCAGACGTCAAGTAGAACTTAACCCTGATGACACAAGAAAAGAATAAAATAACTAGAAACTGGCCAATGGGTGGGAAAATAAAATGCAAATGACAAGAAATGCTCTTTCCCATGCATGATACCATCCCTGTCACTGCCTAGACAAGGCCAGCCCTCCCTGCACAAGAAAGAGACCAAGAACAAACACACACCAGCCACAGGAGGCAGAGGGCTAAGATGACTTGCAGAGGGGCTGACCAGACCATGTTAATGTATGTGGCCAAGTCCATGAAGCGCTGGGCATCCACAGACATGAGGTTGACGATCTCCCCAACCGTAGAAGACTTTCTAGCCGAATTGGTGATCACAAGGGCCTGTGGAATACAGGAGAGGGGAAAAGTTGAGCCTACAGGTGAAGGCAAAGAGTTTTCAACTCTCCCCAGACCCTGGACAAGATTCTGGCCAATGGTAACTGCCGATCTTTCTCCTCCAAATCCTAAGCTACTCTAGACACTTTCTAAACCATGGCCTTGCACATTTCAGTATGCAGGCATGTCGCCTGAGGGAGGAACCCTGTGGTTTCTTGATCTGCAGGTCTGTGATAAGCTAGGATTCTGGATTTCTAAGAAGCTCAAAGGTCATGATCATGTTGCTGGTCACAGATCCCAATACAAGGTTCTTGGCTCTCAAACTCTGACATTGGGAACTAGACAAGGCTTTGTTTAGCTGTCTAATTATTGACTGCAAGAGAGTTTCTGGCCTCTACCCAGAAAATTGTTGTGATACCAAGTTGTGACACCTAAAGTATCTTGAGATGTCAGGGGCAAGTGACTCTGGTGGAGATGTCCATCCAGGACTTTCTTCTCACATGGCTGTATACATTGTTTGGGGAGTCTTAAAAATACACCTGTACCACTGAGCATGACAAGCTTGACCCAAAAGACACCAGTACCACTGGTGTGGGCTGCAGCCTATGCACCAGGACTCAGCGTAACAGGGAGTAGGAAACACTAGGAAAGCCTTCTCTCTTGACAGCCTTTGAGCCATGTGGTGTGCTGCCTCAGAGGCCAGGACATGAGTGGGATGGAAGATTACTAAGTCCCTTTTCTAATGAGAGAGAGAAAATGTGTGGATTTGGGTAGATGGGGAGGATCTGGATGAAGTTGGAGGAGGAGAAACATTGATCAGAATATATATATGAAAATCTATTTTCACCAGGCAGTGGTGGTGCAGGACTTTAATCCCAACACTCAGGAGGCAGAGACAGGTGGATCTAGGTGAGTCGAGGACATCCCTGGTCTACAAAGTAAGTTCCAGGGCTATACAGAGAAACCCTGTTTCGAAAAATTTAAAAAAAAAAAAATCTATTTTCAATAAAAATTAAAGATCAAAGTTATGGGGGGGAAAACTGAACAGCAACAACAACAACAAAAAAGAGGAGGTAGGACTATGGCTCTGGGACAATCCCTGTCAATCATATGCACTCCCAGCATGACAAAATAAAAATTTTTAAAGCTTGTCTTCCTCTGTTCAAAAATCTACCACTTCAGTTCAAATCCGGGGTGAGAGTGAAAGCAAATCCAGGAATAAACTAGAACAATGATTTAACATAGACTGCTTTTCTTTAAAAAGCAAAATAAAAATAGACAACTGCACACTTTGAGTATGTATATGCAGGCTCATACAGCTACGATGTACATGTGGAGGTCTAGCCTTCTAGCTTGTTTGTGACAGGATCTCATCACTACTGTAGCCCAGGCTATCTCGCTCAGGAGCTTCTGTTTCTACCTCCTAAGTCACTGCTGGGTATACAGACAGGTACTACTATGCCACTTGGTTAAGGGACAAAGCTTGCTGGGGGCTATCCTTGGCATCATGGTCCCCACAGCCCCCATCATTTCTTTGCTGAGGATGATGGGCTGGAAATCTCCACACAGGTCCTGGGAAGTCCCTGCTCAGCCACCCAGAATTCTGAGGTCACAGGATTCAATGTGGGTGCCTGGCCTACCTTGCGGTAGACAGCGCCCACCACGGCCGTCTTGATACGCATGCCGCTGATGAAGCAGATGTGAAAGTACTGGTGCAGAACCAACGTCTGCAGACAGGAGCTGACGAACAGCAGTGCTGTGTAGAAGTAGCCCTGCCAATCGGGGGCGTCCCTGTCATTCATGAAGTTGATAATCAATCTGTTGGGGGGGGGGGTGATAAACACATCAGGGAGAAGTACTTCCAAATTCTATAGTGATTTCCACCTGAGCCACAGGAAGTCAGACAACATTTTACCTCACAGGGGTGATATGACTGCCAGGGACCAGCTTCTTAAACAGGGACCTCTGCCTTAGGAGCATCACACACTGACAGATCTGTCTCCCCACTGGCAAGTAACCCAAACGTGGTCAAACAGAGCACACTAGGACCAAGCTATTGGAGACAGAGATGACAAAGGCCCCCTTGCTGTCTTCTTGGTTTCCAGTTTGCAGAGGCTCATGAAATTTGCCTGCACATCCTTGCTCTAGACAACCCCACATTCTCCCAACTTTGGATTCAGGAAGCTTCTGTGACTTGCAAATGGCTACAACTCAGATGGTAAACGAAGCTGGGGAAGGTGAAGGTAGTGGGTAACAAGCCTGCTCCTGCACAAGGCGGGACCACCCAGGAAGTTAAGGGAAAGCCAGGCGGTCAATTAAGAGTTCTTACTCCAAGATCTTGGGGCCGGCAAACATCATCAGATCATGAAGGGCCTTGAACAGGAAGCTCATGAGGAAGTAGGGCCCAAAGGTTTTGTATAACACCTTGAACAGAGAGGGGTCCTTGTCCTTCTGGGGGGACTTGACAATCAGCGCCTCGACCTCCTCATTCACATCCAACTTGGAACTTCCCTTGGGCTTGCTGGGATCTTTGGGAGATGCGTACACAATCTGTACAGGTTGCCTATAACATGAGAAGGGTAGAGCAGTTATTGTGTCCACCAGGGAGGCAATTCACAGTCAAGAGAGTTAAGAGCAGAACCCAAGACAAATCACCATAGAGAAGCAACTTTAATGCAGTAGGTATGAGCCCTGGGTCCTGCCTGGGCCTTCTGCTGCCTGCAACTGCAGGTATGCTGAAGCTTGTTTCCTCTTTTGCAAAGCAGGGCTCAGGGTGTGGCAATGCATAATGGTAACCACAGTGCTGCGTAAGCAGAGACAGAGGAATCACAAGCCTGAGGCAAAAAAACAAAACAAAACAAAACAAAACAAAACAAAACAAAAAGAGCAATGTAGTGAGGCTCTGTCGAAATGAATTAGAAGTCCTGCCTGTCTCACAGGGTGCTTGTACAAACTGAGTGAGTGCACAGAACTGAAAGGCTTGGTAGCAGGACCATCCCGAGTTCTTCTACAGACCCACAATTCCTATCTCTGGCTGCTTCACAGGAAGTGATGGATCAGTTCTAACAGCTGTAATGGGAACTCAAGAGACCCAGATGTGCTAAAACCACCCTGAAAGAGAAGAATGAAACTGAACGCCATGCTACTCAATTTCAAATTTCACTGTGAAGCAACAGATGTCAATAAAGAGAGTCTTTTCAAAAACTTGTGATAGGCCATAGCAGGTGGTTCATTCCTGGAAAGCCCCTGGAAAGCGAAGCAGGAAGATTATCATGAGCCTAGGTTACACAGCAAGGGGCTTTCTTAAAACAAAATCGTGGTAGGAAACTAGATAGTCACATGCAATAAGAATAAGCTACACCATGGCTTCATATTATGTACAAAAATTAAAAGATTTTTTTATTTATGTGTATGTACATTTGCCTACATGAGTTTATGTGCACTGTGAGTACAGGTACCTGTGGAAACCAGAATGGGTGTTGGATCCCTAGGAACCAGAGTTACAGGTGGTTGTGAGCCACCTGATACGGGTGCTGGGAACCAAATCTTGGTCCTCTGTAATAGCAGTATGAATGAGCCATCTCTCCAGTCACACAGAAATGCACTTAGAATGGGAGCCAACTTCTACACAAGCTAAGAACTATAAATCCTCCTGAGCATGATTTGCCTCCACTTGGCAGATGGAGGCAGGAGAATCTTGAAGTTCAAAGTCATCCTCAGCTACATAGGAAAGAAAATACCAGGCAAAAGTTCATCATGAAGATGAAACAAAATAAAACAACCACCACCTCCCACACCACAAAGCAAACCACCATGGCTACACAAGCTGTCAAGCAGCCTTGTTTCATAAATCAAAGTTCTCAGGTGGTGACAATGACTCAGTCCAGTGACCATCCTTCAGTGTCATTTTGTAGTTCTGCCCTGCCCTGAATGCAGACAAATACCCCTGCCAGGCATCCACACTCCCAAGTGAAATGCCAGTCTGAATTCGCCTAAGTCTAGAATCTTCCTTCCATCTGCAGACACAAGTCTATACTGCATTCTTACCCATTTAAACACACAGTATCCCCTCTAATCCATGGATATTATTGGCTACTATATTTTCTTACAAATACCTGTGATAAGAGTTTAACCTACAAGTCAACCAAAAGTTATAAAAAAAGGACACAATATGAGTGTGTTCTGTTACTCTCGAAACATTCTTATGCTGCCCTCATCCTTCTGGTGACACTAGGGCATGACAGATGAAGTAGGCAAATGATAGGCACTGTGATGTAGCTAGCTTTAGGCAGCTATCTAAGAATTACTTGACCTTATGCACCACCAATCTGATAACCAAGATGGCTGCTGAGTAGTCGACTAGCAGGTAGGTAGTGTGTACAGTGTGGACATAGCAGACAAAAGGACAGTTCATACCTGGGGTGACAGTATATGATGGGACAAGAACAGTGCATAATTTAAACCTTAGGAATGGAATTTTAGATTTAATATTTTCTGATCATGTTTGATCACAGGTAACTAAAACTAGATGTATGGGAGATCACACCTCAGTCTTTTAAACCATCATCTGTTAGAGCAATTAACAGCCACTTCATTTTGCTTTACACTATCTACTTTTAGATAAGCCATCCTTTACAAATTTCTCTGTGGGGAAGTTGCTCTGTTCCCCTTTGCCTGATACCCTGACTTCTAAACCAGTAGCCACAATAAAAACCTTATGATGGCTGACACATGAGCTAACACAGGAGAAAGGGGCAAAAAGGAACAATCTCTGGTCCCCAAACCTAAAAGAAGGCTTTTCATTTGTCAGAACATGGAACACCAGAGGTCTTTAAATAAGATCAAAGTGCAAGGGTAAGGACTTGCTCATCTGCTTTAAAATTAAAAAATATTTAGCTTGCCTGAAAATAATGTGTTCACCTAAAGATTTAGAAGCCAACTCAGAAACAAGGTCACTGATAATTCAGAGCATGTTCCAATTGAGAGGAAGGTAAACATCCCCTAAATACAAAGGATGGTCATCAAGCCTAGATGTAGAACTCAATCCCTCTCTATAAGAGCTCTTTGAGCCTTGAGGTCCCCAAGACAGAGCTTGAAGGCTAACATCTTCCATCTTCTCAAGATGTCCTGAATAAGCCTGAAGCCCTAGGAGTTGTCCAGTATGTGTGCCGGGAACCAAACTAGAGTCCTTAGGAAGTACATCAGGCACTTTCACAGAGCCATCTCTCCAGCCCCAATTTTCTTTTAATTAGATACATGGGGACATTGCTGGTACATCCTCTATTTTGCTGTTCAAGTTCCTTTAGGCAACAAATACTGGGGGGGGGAGAGGGAAGGACACTATCTGTCCACTTTTTCACTTAGCATAATAACTTTGTGCTCTGCTCTGAGCAGTGATTCCAACTTCTCCTAATGGGTGTCTGGGCTTGATTCTGTTTGGGGCTGTCACAAACAAGGCAGCTACAAGTCTGTACAAGCCTTTAAGAACCTAAGTTTCCAGTTCTCTTGGGCATCTGCCTAGGAACAGAATGACAACAGGTAAGTGACTAGATTTAATTCAAAAACAAAAACACCACTAGACTCTTTTCCACAACTACTGAATCACTTGATATTCAGGCCAGCAGGTACATGATCCAAAACGGCCTCACATAAAAGGGGCACAGGCTGAGGAAAACAGAGTATTGCCACAAACAAAGGAAGCACTGGGCCAGAAAAACAAAAACAGGAGTAGGAGGAAGAGCAGACCAGATTTCCATAGGAGCCACTTAGGGCCAAGAAACCAAGGCACACTTCCCAGTCCACTTTCCCAGACAAGCAGAACTCCTGGAAGCCCAGAATCTGCCTAGCTAACACTTTTTCTCTGGATAAATGGCTGTGCCAAGTTCTGGCCCAACAAGATTTGCTCCCTCCCCCTCCCCATCCACAGGTGTGAAATGTGCTCACACCTCTGGGAAAAAGAGCATGTGACCCCTCCTCACCAAGATGAGCATGCCTGAAGGTCAGGATTCTCATGGAGTCAATCTGTTGGTGACAGCTTTCAAGCCTAATGGGCCAGTTTCTGCTACACCCTCTCCAGTAAAACAGAAGTGTCCAGGTGAAATCTTGCCCAGATGAGTAAACACAACTTGTCTAGAAAAGCTGCCCAGGGTTGATCCAGCACTGAAGCTTGGCCCATCAGATGGTATTCATCTCATGAGCAGCTCAGAAAACCCCGAGGAGAAGAATGGAGGCTGAGAGCCAATGAGATGGCTGGTTGGCACCTGCTGTCCAGCCTGACAACTTGAGTTCAATCCCCAGAACCCACATGGGAGAGGGTGAGAACCAACTCCCAAAAGTGTCCACTGACATGCACACACACACACACACACACACACACACACACACACACACACACACACAATAAATTAGTAAATAAATAAAGCAATTTCCAAAGTCTTATTAATGGCTGCCTGGGCATATATTCTTGGGTAAACAGACAAATTTCAATTTAGCAAGAACATTCAAGTCACCAGAAGGATGTTCAGAGAGAGAGAGGTTAAAGACAGACCAAGTAAGGAGGGCAAGGCCTAAGCTCCAGCATACACAGCTGAGGGCTGTGACAAGTGGAATCAACTTCAGGACTGGCAGATAGCCTCGGCTGGAGAGCTAATCAATCAGTGATGTCACGATGTAACTTGCAGACAATACAGGAGGGAGCTGCTGGCAGCTCCCTTTGATGTTAAACACTTCCACTCCACCCCACCTGATAGATAAGAAATGGTGGCCTTGGGAGGTAATAAAGTTGCCCCAGAACCAAGAAACTTAAGAGATTCAGGCCACGGTGGCTAAAGGGATGAAACAGATCAGCCTAGACAGCATCTGCCTCTCCTGGAAGAACACAGAAATGTGACACTCACTTCCTCGACTTAGCACACTCCTTCTTCCAGTTATTTACCAGCACAGGAACGATTTCTTCGGACTTGTCCTCCTTATTCAGTGACCAGAGGTCACTGCTCTTCAAGGGCTGGCGGTAGCCCTGCACCATCATCCTGGGAGCAGGGCACAAAAGGAGGCGGGATGAGCATGGAAATCTCATGCCATGGAGCTGCCCTCACAGACCTGTATCACTGTCCAGCTATGACTGAAAAAACCTGAGGATGAGTGCATATGAGTACGGCATATTAACTAATAATTAAGGCATATTAACTAATTATAGTTAATTCTACTAGGTCGTTTGGGGAAATAAACCCATCTTGACAGACAGGTAAACAATGCGTTTAGAAGGAAGTAGCTGGGTATTTCTAATTATTGCTTTGTAAACTTTATTTTTAATTGTTTTATTTTCAAACAGGGCCTCATGTAGCCCAGACTGGCCCCAACCTCTCTATATAGCCAAGAATGACCTAGAACCTGTTCTTCCTGTTTCCTGTGAAAATACTGGCAAATTCTGGGTGTTTTCTTATTGTTGATCATGTATATTTTTCTTACGTATTTTCTATGATGTGCATATTTGACCTTGCTATAAGCTACAGAATAATAACAACAGAATCACTACTCTGTATCTGCAGGTTTGGGAAGGTTCTGTCTCACGCTATTCCTTAAGGACTAGAGCATGGCAGCCATTATACTGCACTAGGGGTCACGCAGCACACAGAGATGACTCAGAACACAAAGGAGAAGTGGTTAAATGCAAATCTCCCTCCTTTACATGGAGGGCTGATCATTAATCAGAAAGTATAGTATCTGTATGCTTTCTGGAACCAAGTCTGCTAGGATTCCATATTAAATAGTTATAAAAACCCTTCCACAAAAAGGCAAGCCTATGCCAGAGGCTAAAGGTGCCCACAGTCCATACATTTATCACATTGGAGTTCATAAAACTGGGGGCTATTTGGTGGCCTCGAGATGTAAGCTGTAGATAGTACAGGAGGGAACTACAGGGAGCTGGGCATCCATTCACCCACTGCATTCACGCCCCACTACCCACCCCATCTGCAGCCCAGCCTTACCCTGTGATCCACCAGAAAGTGATCCTGGACAGGAAGGAGGCGCTGGACTCTGGGCAAGGATTCTAGGAGACAGAAGGCAGAGGGGAAGGAAAATCCAACCTTAAATTTTCACATCTGGGAGAGCTAGGTGGAGCTGACCATCCTTCCTTCAAAGGACCATGGCCCACACCCTCACACTTCTGCACCCCACATGGGCTGTTCTCTTGAGCCACAGGAAAAGATCAGAGCTTATCCCTCCAGTTTCACCCAACAAATGTTTCCTGAGTACCTACTAAGTGTAAGCACAACATTATACAAACCTATCTCAGCCTACATCTCCACTGAAACCCCATGACCTTTGTTAACATCAGCCCCACTTCCTTCATCCATTCGACAATTATTTCATGAGCACCTACTATGTGCTGGGCACTCTATAAAGTACTATGGATCTTCTCTTCCTACATTCCCACCTCAACCTTGTGAGGTAGTGTTACTATCAATGTTCCCACTTTACACATCCATTTATTGAGCAAAGTTAAATTAAAGATCTACTATGCACCAGGCACTCTTTACACAAAGGTATATAATTTTGTGTTGTATTGCTGGCAAGTAAGTCTAGGACTTGGCACATGTTAGGTAAGTATTCTTCTCTAAGCTACACTCTTAGTCCAGATTTTACTGTTTTATGGTCCTGTGGACTCTCTGAACACTGTCCTATTATTGTCTCATTTTGTTTACCCACCCAAAAGATACTTCCTGAGTACTAACCATGTGCCAAGAAACATACACAGATATGAACAAAGAGACACCCATGTACACCTTGAGGTACACTGTTACCCTGCTCTACAAGCTGTTCCATACACTCATCTCCAAGACTACCCTCCAAGGCAGGGTTAAGTATCACCCCCATTTTTTCAGTTAAATGAGAACAGAGGCAAAACAGGCTGACTGAGTTCCTATATCTAAAACTGGCAGGATGTGTGAGTCAAACAGTGAGACTCCAGAAAAAGAGAGACGATTATCAGATGACTGTACAAACAAACAAACAAACAAGGTAAAACTTAACTGCAACCAGTGCCTAAATGTAGGTGGCTATGACTACTAAGCTCACATAAGGTAGCAAGGGCTGGTTCATGAGGCTCAGAGAAGGCCTCTCTGAGAAAGACCAGGCCAGCATTTGAAGAGGGCAACTATGCCAAGAGGAAAAGCAAGGCATTCCAACAGAAAGCAATGTGTGCAGAGACCCAGGAGTATGCAGAAGCATACCCAGGGATCCAGAAGGAACTTAAGAAGCTTCCAGCAGAAGGGTAGTCATAGCTCAGTGGCAAAACATTTGTCTAAACTGTGCAGAGCCCTGGGTTCAACATCTGGCAAAAGTGGTGAAAGCAGACTATGATGGAGGCTGTGTGGTCTATACTGGAGGTCAGGTTAGGAATGTTGAGTTCTTATAGGCAACTCATACAGGAGCCATAGAGATTTGAACCAGCTGTCAAAGAATCTCTTTCTCAGAGGCAGAAGGCCAGCTCAACAGCAGGTAGGAGACACTAGCGCAGAGCTCAAGAAGTCCAGCATTTAACATGTGCACATCAAAATCTCAACCCAAAACGGCCTCCATGAAAGGACAGCAAGGGTTCTCTTTAACCAAGAATACTGATCACAGAGTTCTATAGAGAGAAGGCATTCAGAGAGCAGGGGAGACAGCTCTAACCATGAGTTTCCCATCCAATCTGTCGATTCTGATTCCACTTCCACAGTTCCAGAAGATGATGATTTGGGGTAAAATCAGGGTATCAAAATTTGTTTCTGTCTGAAACTTCCAAATTATTCTTGGCAAAGTCACCGGGCAGGAAACACACAAGGTAAGGCCAGAAAAAAGGTTATACTCCACAGCCTCAGTCCAAAGGTGAGTAGGAATGTTAAAAGCCCTAAAAGCAGCCAGAAGGGGCCCTGGCCGGCCAAAAGGGTGAGTTAGAAAAATGGTATTTTTTAGCCAGGCCATGGAGGCAAAGGTGTTCTTTAGCACACCTTTAATCGCAGCTCTTGGGAGGCAAAGACAGGAGGATATCTGAGTTCAAGGCCAGCATGGTCTACAAAGAAAGTTCCAGGACAGTCAGGGCTACAAAGAAAAAGCATGTCTCAGAAAACCAAAAAGAAAAAAGAAAAATGGTGTTCCAAAATACACCAAACTATATGCCATACACAGATTCCTATGGATGCTGAAAAGATGGCAGGAGACCCAAACCATTGTTCTGTTACACAGAATAAATGGAAAGAAATGAGAATTTCCTCTCCATTTTCTAAACAAACCCAACACGCAGGCAGGCAAAGAGAAGAGAGAAATTGCAGCTAATAAATGAAGGAATAAACCCATCTAATGACATGATGGTACATTTGCCACCACAATGGCTTGCTCTTATGTTTGATGATATTAAGAGAATTGCCATTAGTGATAATGGGCCAGATAATGGCCATACGTTTTTTTAAACCATTATCTCTCAAATATTATTACTGGGTAAAGATGAAATGATACGGGGTGGTTTGAAAAAAAATGGCCCCCAAAGGGAGTGGTGCTAATGGGAGGTGTGGTTGTTGAAATAGGTGTGGCCTTGTTGGAGGAAGTGTATCACTAAGGAGTAGACTTTGACGTCTCCTATGCTCAAGATACCACCCAGTGTCTCAGATCACTTCCTGTTGTCTGTGGGTCAAGATGTAGGACTCTCAACTACTTCTCCAGCACCATGTCTTCTTGAATGCCACCATGGCCCACCATGATGATAATGGACTAGACCTCTGTAAATGTACGCCACCCAATTAAATGTTTTCCTTTACAAGACTTGCCATAGTCATGGTGTCTCTTCACAGCAATAGAAACCCTAACTAAGACAGGTACTCTACTTTTTTTGCAACTTTCTGTGAGTAGAACTATCTCAAAATGAAGTTACAAGACAGGCATGGTTTCCACACTGCAATCCCAGGAAAAAAAGGCAAGAAAAGGCCTATGAGTAAAAGGCTAGCCTATGCTACATCTCAAGTCTTTTTGTTTTAAATTAATTTATTAAAAAAATGAACAAAAACAGGAGTGGCGGGGTGGGGGGGGTGGGGAGGGTAGTTGCCCAGTATGCAGGAAGCCCAGGGTCCCATTAATAAAACTAGACATGGTGAGGCATGTCTGTAATCCCAGCGCTCTGAGAGAGCAAGAGGCAGGAGGTCAGAAATTCAAGGTTGTCCTCAACAGGTACAAAGTAAGTTCCAGGGCAGTATAGACAGGAGATGCTGTCTCAACAAAAACACACAAAGAAAATCCATCCCCTAAGTAATACATATGAAAGTGTTTGCCAAGTTGTCTTCTTGGGGATAAAATCCACTGAACCACAACCAAATTTACATGAATGTAAAGATGCCACCATCCAGACTAAGAAAGGCCTTGACAAATGGCAAGCTCCCTGCCCCACTATTCATCAGACTCACCCAAGAAGCATCTGTTCAGAGTAGGCATTCAGTTCCAGAGCTAGCCCAACCTAATCAGGGATAGTAGGTGGGGGGCCCTGGCATAAGCAAAGCAAATTCCTAACAAGTTAAGACAGATGAGGTCAGTCTGGGTTCAGATCACAGTCCTGTGGGCTTCTAGGTGAGTAACGTTAATAGCACATCTTCTTGTCTCAGTTTTCACACCTGGAAAGTCAGAGTCCTCTTGTTCAGCCAACCACAAAGAAACCCCCAATGGCAGAAGAACCACAAGAGGCCCACAGGGCTGTGTGTAAGATGGATTTCCCTGGCTAAGGCAGCAATACCACTCCTGGAGGAAGTGGAGATGCCTTCCTTGATGGCTTCAAGGAAAATGATTCTCTGTGTCCAGAAGAGTGGACAGCTGCCTGAGAGAGCACAGACAGACTCACACGTGGGAAGGGAGGGGAATCAGTCATTTGCTCTTCCTTGCAAGCCCACAGCCCATCCAGGGCAAAAGACTAAGATGTTTGCTGGAGACAGGGAAGCTCACAGTAGGAAATGACTCCTTTATGTCTTGAGTAAATATTTAAGGAGCAGGGACTTGCTTCTATGCCAAGACTGAGGTGAATGCTGGAGATAGGGCTGGGAAGGAGATGAACCCTGGGAACCTTTCTCCTTGAGGGGGCACACAAACAGTGATAAAAAAAACAATGTGAAGGTGTAAGCTGGGTGTGGCCTGTCATCCCAACACTAGGGAGGTGAAGGCAAAGAGGTTAGAGGTTCAGAGTCATCCTTAGCACATAATTACTTAGAGGTCAGACCTTGCATCAAAAATGCAGAAAAGGCAAGGGCTTTAGAGTTGGGTAAGAGCATTTGTTGTTTTTCCAGAGGAGCCAATTTCAGTTGCCAGCAACCACATTGTGGCTCACAACATCCTTAAACCTCAGTTCCAGAGGATCTGATCTCTTCTGACCCCAACAGGAACCAGGTACACACATAGCGGGCATACATGCAAGCAAAACACTTACACACACAAAATAAAATAAATCTGAAAACATTTTTAAAGAGAAAGAAGGGAGGGAGAAGAGGAAAAGAAGACAGGGGTGAAGGGAGAAGGGGAGGAGTGGCAAGGGGCAGCAGGAACAGGCTCTTGCCCTGAGAGCCTGGTGAGCTGAGTTCAATCCCCAGAACCCACATAGGGTAAAGAGAACCAATGCGTCCCTATGAACTCCAAACACTCCCCATGGCATGTGTGTGTCCCAGCACACAATAATGACAATCTGCAAGGAGGAGGAGGATGAATTGTATATGAAGCAGTGCAGGGTGTGGTTCCCAGCACTTAGGAAAGATGGCTGAGCCTTGCCTCCATTTATGAGCTGTGGGATGTCAGGAAACTTCCTTGGAGGTGGCTGAATAGATAAAATGATAGCTACTTAGAAGAGGGCCAGGGCAGACAAAAAAAAAAAAATGAATTATGCTACCCCAAGTACTGGGACAGATGCTATTCCATCAGAAGTGGAAAAGTTGCAACAGCTGGTTGTTTATAAAGAGCCCGGCCTGAGGCCTTTGTAGCTCAATTGATCGATAGATCGATCAATAGATAAATGATGGCTAATCACACTGTTCCTCAAACCTC